TTTTTTTTTTTGTCGAAGATGTCACGGGTTTCTTCCATATAAAAATAAATTGTATTTATTCGTTATATGGAAGCAAATAGGCAAAAAAAATCTAAAAAATCTAAAAAATCAACCGTTATTATTAGTCATTTTAAACTTGTACTTTATTCTACTAGAATTCAATGAGCTACAGAACTGCATACTCAGAATCTTTCTATTAAAAAATTCTGATTAAAAAAGCTAGAGATTCTTAAAAAAGTTTGTAGAATTTTTTTTTAATATTGCACAAAGTTTGAAACTTGGATTTTGACGGGGTTTGTTAAAAAATTAACTATATTTTTTATAAAAAAATAGCCAAAATTAAATTACAATAAAAATTATATATTAAAACTTGTCACGGTATATACATACACTGCCGACAAAAAGTATTGGCACAGCAATTTTTTTACAATATATGCAAAATTTTTTTCTAATATTTTTCCGGCAATTTTTTATAAAAATATGGTTCATTCTACAACAAAAAACATAAAAATATAATTCCTAAGCTTTGCGCAAAACTCTTGAAAATTTAACAAATTTTCAACTTTTTAGTCAGTTTTTTAGAGTTTTTGAGGATTTAAGTATGCAGATTTGAAGCCCAATCAATTTTGTTTTAATAAAGTACAAGTTTTAAGTAGTTAGAAATTACCGTTATTTTTTGCCAGTTTTTCCACGCAGTGTTTTCCGTACAAAAAAGTTTTTTTCGAAAATACTTTATATGGAAAAATGCAAAAGACCTTCTCAAAAATCAATGCGATTTTTGACTAACTCCAAACTTGCATTTGTTTTACTAGAATTTAATGGGCTGCAAAACTGCATACTCAAAAAAATTCTGGTTAGAAAGTTGAAAAGTTGATTGAAAATTTTTTGAATTTTCGCGAGTTTTGCACAAAAATTAGGAATCATATTTTTATGCGTTTTGTTGTAGAATCAACCATATTTTTATAAAAAATTGGCGGAAAAATATTCGAGAAAAAATAGTTGCATATATTGTGAAAAATTTTCTGTGCCAATACTTTTTTCCGGCAGTGTATGTACATTTGCATGCATTTATGGGTGGGCGCACATTTGGTTTCATCGCTTAATTTTCCTAAACGAAAGCAGTGAATACATTTACCCGTTGTTAGCGTTCAAACGAAGCAGTCTGCTATGTATTTCTCTTGAAGTTTTCGCATTGAATTACCAGATGTAGGAAATTACGCTTGTGCGAAGTGTATAGAATATTCCTTTCAAATTTAACTGAATATGGTTGGCATATTGAAATTGTTTAAGCAGTTTTGTTTTAAACAGGACGCAAGAGTTAGGACTGAGTAAAGCCATGCAACTGATTTTAATAGTTTTCATTTATTTTATGCTTTCATTTTTGAGAAACTGTAAGCGTTATTGAAATGCGAAAAATTCAAAGCAAAAATTCGGTCTAACCGCTTTTTCTGAATTCAAAAATGAACAATCGCTTTCTCTCAAATTGTCTTTTTTAAAGGATCCAGGATAATCACCCTTATTATGATTATCGTTACCACAGTCGTTCGTCGAAAATTGAGAGTTATTGCAAATTAATTTTTTTGTTATCCGTTGGAATATAAAAAAGTATTCAAAACGTGTCAACCGGGATAAAGGTGAGTAAGAAACCCCTTGTCATGTTGTATTCAACTCTACCCACAACATGCTTTTGTTATGTTATCGATAAAAAAAAAAATCACTTCACACATATTTTTACCCGCATATCACAGGCGTTAATTTGTTTTTATTGTCTCGTTTTATAAGTTCAATATGCACAAATTACTTAAACCTAATTTTCTTCTCATTAAAATTTCAGATCCACAACTGACTTCCGCCACAGCACAGCAAGCTTTCTCACCCTCGCTCTGTGTCTGGCAGATTGTTGGCGGTCCGGTTGGTGGAACGAAAACCGATTATCCACAATTTAATTTACATAAATGATGCGTCATGAAGCAGCCAGTGGACGCTAACCACATTGTGTCGACACTGCTGGAAACCGCTGATGATGCTGCGAGTACGAAATGACGAAGCAAAACGCAGATGAGACCGCGACAAGTGCAATTAAATATTTCTTGTCACTGTTATTGCAGCAATTAAGCGCGCCATTAAAAAAGAAAGCGCGCATCAAAAACAAGAAAAAGAGGTAGTAAAATAAATAAAGCAATAGCAGCAAAGGAAGTAACAGACTGCAAATTTGCGAAAGTGGGTAGTGCGAGTTGGTATTAAAGCACCGAAACGCGGCAGAAATTGAGCGTTTTTAATTGCAGTAGACATTTGATAAGCTTGGCCTGCCTACTATCATTCCTAAAAATCAACACTTAAGTCCAACAAATTAGAAAAAATACCACAAAAATCAAAGGAGTACTGCGAACCTCTGCAAGATCAAAGAAAATGTGGGCGCCCATTGCTTTTAAGTTGCCCACCATATTGCTGCTGTTGCTGCTGCAAACGCAACACTATTATGACTTGCGTGCAGATGCTGTTAGTGCCGCAGCCTCGTTGGCAGCAGATACGGAAGTGGGCGCGGAGCACGCGGATTCATACAACATACGCCATGGGCGCTCTAAGGTGCGGCACTCCAATGAAAAGGAGCATATCCTGTGGGGAGGCATGCGGCCGCAAAATGTAGCAGCAGTCAAAGCAACGCCAGTGAAGGGGTATATTGTAGCTGCCAGAAGAGCGGATGCCAGCGAGGCGAATAGGAAAAACGCCACAATTGTTTCACAAAGCTTCGCGCACACGGAAAGGAGCAGCGGATTATTGGCCGACTACGTTGAAAACGGCGCGCCGCAAAATGTCACAACTCGCGATGCCATCGATAAAAGGTATGATGGCAGCAGCAAGCACCAAAATCGTGTGGGAAGAGTTTGGAGCAGTTATTCGACCAGCAGCATTCAAACTGGCAATGGGCATTTGTTTGGCAGCGACTATTGGCGTAACTCAGACGTTAACGGTTCGCTGATTAATGCGACAGACGCGAGCTCACTGCAGCGCTTAAGTATGATGTCACATGGTATGACCGCAACCCGAGCGCCCATGGCTACTGCATTGGTCTCGCGACGATCGCTTGGTTACCCCTTTGAGGCGCTGCCGGTAACCGAAACACCAGACGCTGCAGGCGCTAGTGGACTCGTCACCACTGAGGCGCCAGTTACACACCGCATACGTAAACTGCATATGAAGAAGATTATGGAAAGCATAAGGAATAACGTCGATAAGAGGCTGGGTGCCAAGCTGTCAAAGAACCATCATCGCAGTCTGTTAACCGCCGAGCAGCTACAGGGCAGGCCAATGGATGTAGAACTCAACCAAGCGCATAACGCTGCCACTGATGATATAACCACCGATAGTGACGTGAGTGTCGCAGATAGCGCTAGCAGTGAGGATGGTGGGAGTTTCGAGCGTACAGAAGAAGCTGTCAGCGGAGTTGATGACGAAGACAAAGGTGACAACTTCGATAGCCGCAATTATGATGCAAACAATGACATCAACAATGTTAATGTAGGGATTGAGAATGTCAATGGAGATGTTGAAGTGGCGAGTGACAGCGTCGGAGATGAATTGGAGAGTGATGACGTGAATAGTGAAGACGTCAGCAACAATGCGCTAGAATCTAACGTTGACAGCAGCAGCGATGAATTAGGTGAGGTTTTGCAATTAGCTGATGATTTGGATGTGCCAGATAATTCAATGGAAGACATATACCAGAATGATGAGTATCCGGTCACATCACCTAGCTATGTCACCACAAGTTCAGATGGCAGCACTGAGCTTAATGAGAATGCTAAAATGTTTACAACTTTTACACCATTTCTCGTCGATGGCGACGATTCATACGCAACAGAAATATTGAGTGATGGCACTGTGAATGTGGACGCAACAACAACACAAACTCCGGCACTGAAACCACCTAAAAAGGTAACTACGAAATTGCAGCTTGTGCCAAAAACGACTGCAACAACAAAGCTTATACCATTGCCCACAATGCCGACCAAAGACGTAGTACAGTCGAAGCTTGCGCTCAAACGCGCGTGGAAAAATCAGACTATTTCCGTAGCGCCACAAAATGAAATTACTGCAATAGAGCGACCCCTATGGCCAACTGACAGTGCCACACCAACAAAACCAGCCAGTAAGGTGGTACGAGTTAAAGCTAAACCGATTAAATCTAATGGCAATTCCATTATTGACTCATCCGAACCACCCGATTTGTTCGGCACGATACGCCTTGAAAGCACCGAGATGGCAAATGACACAGCAGAATATAGTGAGCTCGAACCAAAAAACTACACAACAAACAAGCTTCTCACTCCAGCTGTGCCAGGGTCAACAGCCCCCAAAGCTGAGAGCGATGAGTTTGGTTGGTCAGCCAGCAATATTTCCGTGGAGCCAAATCACTTGGCCAGCACTAGCGTTGGTGGCATCGGGCTGGAACGACAGCAGGCATACGATATCGAAGAGATAAGTTTCGAAAATGTCGGACTTGATAACCTGGACGACATTACCATGGACGACGGTCATATGGACAATCGGCATGCGCACGGTTTCCCGGTGAGTAATTCGGGTGATGTGAGCACGGATGTGAATGGCGGTGAAGACGGTAACGAAACGGAGGGTGAAGACGATACGAATCGGTTTTTGGCGGGCGTGGTCGATGCGGCAAACGAAGATGAGATTTACGATTGGGATGAGATTTCGCGAAATAATCGACGGAATTTGATGCGTGGTCGGGATGTCGTAACGAAATTTTTGCAAATCGTTGAAACGCAACATTTGCTCGGCGCTAATTGTGAGGCGGGTACGTCGTTAAATTTGGGTGAAGGCGTGGTCGATCGCTATGCGCAGGATCGTTTTCGTGTTGAAGCAGAGGTGGCAGTGAATCGCGCCAACATGCTGACCAGGTGAGTGAAATGAGGGAATGAAAATGTGTATATGTTTTTTTTTTTTTGGAGGGAAGCGGAAGGTGTATTTCAAAGTAGCACATTAATTAAAATAATTCTAAATTATAGCTCTGTGTAACATTTTATGACCTCAACAGATTAATGCCCTAACGATAGTATCCATTCGCGATAGTCAGCCCCTAACTTTTTCAAAGTTCAAAGTTTGGAGTTTGACTGTTGAGACTCTAAGCAAAATCTTTAAAATGTTTCTACAGTTTGGTTAAAGTAGCCGTATGTGCAATTTTATAGCTTCTTTCTTCTTTTCCATTTAGTACTTCCTACTACTCGCGCGAGGGAAAATGCTTTGGTTCCATAATTTCCGCCTTTGAAATTTTTGTGTGCCTTAAAATCTACGAATTTAATATAAACTCTGCCTAAGGCAAGCGATTTATTTTGTGTTAACAAAAAAGAAAGTACACAAAAGCGGAAAATGCGCAATAATCGCGCGTCGGCAAGAGTGGTATTCGATTTAAAAATCAATAATACTTGAAAAAATAAATGAAAGTGTAGTATTAAACAAAGTGCGGACCGTCAGTAGCTCTAAAGGCGAAAGATAAACAACAAGAAATGAAATGTAAATAAATGAAAGTTAAGCAAAGTGTACACAGTCGATCGCAATTTATTTTGTCCCAAATCCTATTTCAAATGGCACAGCATAACGGCATGTATGTAGTAGTATATATAAGTAAATAATTGTAAGGGATTTATTTTGCAGGCGACTGAACTTTAAATTGAATTAAAGTGCTTATTATTTAATGATAGTAACTGAAATTTCCACTGAGTTGTAGTAGGTGGCAGTGCGTACTAGCTATTCGCAGGGCCTGGTATCCAGCCTAGTTTCCGACCAAAATCAAAAATAAAATAAAGAAAAAAAGTTTTTATTTCTAATAGCGTGGCCCCTCCGCGAGTCGAAAACAAGTCGTTGCTCATTGTGTCACATTTCATTGGGTATGTAGACTTAAAAGCTCCCCTTGCCCAAATCCATCAAAATTTGGTCTACCAAGCCTTGCGTGAATAATGGTGGGTGCATCTCATCACGTTACATGTCCTATCTTCCGCTGGCCTTGCTTGCTAATGGGGTTAAAACTACAGGTCGGCCCACTGCTTCTCACCCCAGCGTTGTATGGCTTTGGTAAAGTGCACAGTACAACTAAATTACTTAACGCCATAAACATTCAGGAGTTCACCGTGAGAGAATAGTCGTGGTTAGTGCTGGAATTTTCAAAGGGTTTCGACCCAAATTACAAATTCAGGATAGTAGAGGACGTAGTGGCATCCTCTCTCCTACAGGGAATAAAACGGTGAACTGCGAATTAGCTGGCTGGCTGTTAGTCGTCAATTACTTCCCGAGATAAGTTCGATGAATAAAACTAGAGGTGACACATAACGGTATTCTCTCTTCGCCAATGTTTAATTTCTACACATCGAAGCAACCTTTTTGCCATCTGGACGAAGAAGGTGCACGTGGATAGCATACAAATTTCTAAGATGATTAAACCTACAATTTTAATGGTTACCTATAACAGCTTTCTCTCCTTCCGTACTGCGCAATCAACCAAAATTATTGACAAGTGAAAAGCTGAAACAAGCTTTTCGAATCGCTCGTCGGTAGAATTTGTGGCAAAGACAAAGAAACAATCTATAAATGCGAGAAAATTGACCGGCCGGTTCTAAATTATGCTGCACCTGTTTGGTCACCGGGGGCTAGTAGGACGAAGTAGACGAAGTTACAGAGTTGAGGACGAGAGCTAAACATACTTACGTAACTCAAAAACTGAGCTCGACGATATACCAACAAGTCATCTACGACCAGAGAAACCGGCGTTACTCTGGTAGAACTACATAAGTTCTGCATACTGTAGCAGAGTGTGAGGGTCGAAATTTAGGAAACACATGGTCGTCGTGTGAACGATGCGAACCACTTCTACCCTTACCCACTCAAACCCATTCGGATTTACCTTATTCTCTCAGACTTTTTAGAGAGTTTCATACACTATTCAAATCTGGTCAGTGGTGGATTTACCAGGTCTAAAGCTTCGCTAATAAAATCCAGTCAATTGGTTCATGAAGAGTGACTTTAAAGTACATATAATGAGATTTCCATCTTCAGGCCTTTGGGCAGCCCAGCTTTTATGCCATCGGCTCTGTAAGTTTTGATGTTATTGCAATCGAATATTGCCGCGTAACTCCAGAATCACTACGAATGAAAGTATGTGGAATATTTCGTTGCTTTGCTGGCACACTTCTAAATGGGAAGCTCAAACACTGAATACTTAATACCTGACAGGTTCTGTCTGTGAGGCTCAGTAGTGTCAGTGGGCTAAAATTCTTGAACCAACCGCTTCTTGTACGGGTGATAAGACAAATATCTTCGCATAATGCGTTGTATGGAATTTTAGGGAAATCTCGCTTACGGAGCACTTTCTTCTCGTCTCTTCACGACTTGGTTCGCTCCGTCCGAGGTTTCATTAACATTGTCGAACCAGTTGAGCGAAAAGGGGGACATATGCAACGACAAGATCTTTCTGCCCTAAGGTGCACCAGAAATGGTCAAAGGATATTTCACAAAGCCCTAACTATCGCTATTGGTGGGTGTTTTGGTTATTGCAACACTAACAGCCTTATTCTGTATCACGAACGTTAGGCAACACAAACGATTCGTCTGCAGAGGAATGCTTCAAAAATTAGTCCGGCGACATCATTTTAGCCGGTTTAAATGCAACCGAGACCATTGCAACGTAATGTATGAAAAGCAAGACGAAGACGACCGATAGAGTTTAAAATCGCAATCAGAGAGGTTGTCGTCTGCAGAAGAATCGGTCGTTTTGCCTATCGTTCGTGATACAGAATAAGGCTGTAAGTTTGTCAATGAAATTGTCTTGGGACAGTTAATTTAAAGGCAGATATGTGACACAATATAGTCAGCAGGATTTATAATAACTACAGAAGATTGAGATATATGCATATCTACTCAATAAGGCTGGAAGTTCTATTCAAATTTTTTTTTGATATCCCGATAAACCGGGCATTCGAATATACGAGTATCTACTGAAAAAATTGGAATATCCAGATATTAACCGCATATCCTGATTACAAAGTGAACGGATATTAATCAGATATACAAATAGAAAATTTAACGTAATATCCGAATAGTAAACGAATCTGAACTGAATATGTGGATAACAAGATAAAACACGCATATCCGAACGGATACCCAAATACGCGGTTCCAGCCCTACTAGTCAACGATTAATAAAGCACTTTTTTAACAGCGAGATTTAAGCAATCCTTAACGGAAATAATGCAAAATTTAGTTATTCATTTAGAATTTAAATTTTTTGTACAAAAACCTCTTGCCCTAAATTCACAATTTTTCTTACTAAATTTTCCTTTTACGGTTCTTCAATCTCTTCTGGAAAGTGCAATCAGAAAATCTTACCATAAATTCTTGCTGCCAGTTTGTCCTAGAGTATCAAAATAACAAGCAACCCACGCTGATTTCCAAGTCTTGAAAGCTTATCTACTGATAGTAGAGTATAAAAATGCCAAATTAGGGGAGTAAAAAATAGTGATATGTTCACTGACCAGTGAACTATGAACGCAAAAATTGCCACAACTGAGTGGCGCGCTGACAACTAACGATAACCAGGCATCTACGAAAGCGTGCGTTATAAATATACTTGCGTACGTACAAAAATACATAAGAATGTATGTTAGCACTTGTTTGTGAATGTCCGACGATATTTGACATTTCAAGGATACTTGAAGCAACTTAGTAGATTCATGTCATGCCAAGCAATACTAAAAACTTACTCCTTGCAAGTTGTATGAAAATAAGTACCTACATATGTACATGTATTTGTATTGTATAAAATAATTACATATGGTATGTATGTACATTAGGATGCACCACTTTACACAAAAAAAAAAATCGCTACTGTTTTCTATTCTACATAAAGGTAGTTTCACACGATTGGTATATTTGTACGGATTTGTACTTTTTTTACGCTGACTATCGGTACAAAATAAAAAAATTTGATGAACATTTTTTATAGTCACACGATTGCTACATTTGTACAAATTTCTACATATATTTATATTGGGCTATCGGTACTAAATAAAAAAATTGGACGACAATTTTTTTATAGTCACACGATTGGTACAACACAGCGAACTTCAATTGAAAAATTTGAAAAAATTGTTTTTTGTTATTGGGATGAAAAAAAATAATATTTGTGCATTCTCATGATTGGGATATTTGATTTGCCCTAAATTTTGGGCAAATGGCCATTCGTGTGACACTGCCTTAAGACTTCTGCCAAAATATAGTGGAAAATTATTAAGATTTGCGTTAGCTAGACTTATTTGAAAATACCTGCAAAATCGTTGTTTTTATACCTTTCATGAGCATGAAATGGTATTATAACTTTGGTCCGATGTTTGTAAGTACCAGAACAAAAAGAGATAGACCCATTAAAATGTATACTTATTTGATCAGAACGTCGAACTGAGTTGATTTATCCATGTCCGTCTGTCCGTCTGTCCGTCTGTCCGTCTGTCCGTCTGTCTGTCTGTTTGTATGCAATCTAGTCTCTCAGTTTTCGAGATATCCGGATCAAATTTGGTAAGTGGGTGTATTTTTATAATGTATTAATCATTTGTCGGAACCGGAAGAATCGGACCACTATAACATATAGCTCCCATACAACTGATTGTTCAGATATGAGATTTTTCGTTATAACTTCTCCATTTATGCAGCTAGGAACATGAAATTTTGCAGTACTTGCACCTATTATCAACAGAATACTTACAGTGGAAATTACAAAGATCGGGTCACTATAACCTATAGCTCCCATACAACTGATTGTTCAGATATGAGATTTTTCGTTATAACTTCTACATTTATGCAGCTACGAACATGAAATTTTGCAGCATTTGCACCCATTATTAACAGAATGCTTACAGT